GGAAAGTGTACCTGTGGGTTCGATAATTCCAGTCATTTGGACTTTTAATAGACGTGTAATTGGGGTCATTTTTAATGCGCTGACATAATGTTTCATGCTACTTCATGATCCTACTTTTGTCAATGATTTGCAAAAAGAACCCACTGTGCTCAATATCTATTGCGATACTTGATAGGGAAGAAGATTCCCTTTTAGAGATATCTATATTCAGTAGAATTTATGATTGAAAGAGGCTGAGAACCTCAAGTACAAATGTACAAGCAAGCGTTAATGTTAAGTCATGAGGATGTTTCGATAGTCATTAAAATTCAAAGTAAACAGCCTGGTCAAAATGACAAAATGCCCTCTAAAAGTTGGTGTGAACACTAGTAATATTTTTATCCATTTATCTTTCTACTTACGCTATCCTAACAGTTCCGTGTTTAATACTGTCAGAGCAACCCAATGGTCCCCATCCCGGCGTTATATTCTATAGCTTTTTATTGACAGCCCCTCCTTTTCCATCGCCTATCAACGGTTTGTCCTAATCTCGTTCGCTCCTTAGATTGAGGTTAATATATCCGTTCTGCTGCTGGCAGTGGAGGGGGGTGTGCAGGTCTTCGCTCGTGGTCTCTCCGGTGTCCTCTTCGATCTGGCCTGTGTGAAGGCGCATCGGGGTGTCGTCTGGTGCTGCATCATTATCGCCTCCTCCGCCATTGTCTGTCTGATCTCCATGGCCAAATCTCTCCCAGTCATGGTGGTGCTGATGGCCCTGCGCGGCCTCTGTCTGGCCATCTACATATCTCATCAAACCCTAATGACCTGTGACATGTGTGAACGATCTTCCAGTCTTGTACCACACGCTATCGGTTTGACCCAGTTCTTCAAGGGCATCGGCATTCTTTTTGGATCAGCCATCTCAGGTTTGTGACACTTTTTGGAACTCTGTCTGTAGCGGCAACCGTGGCTTACTTGCCCTTCATCTTCCCTTAGTACAATTGTTAAAAGAAACCAAGCATATTGAACTAATTTGACCGGTAGGCTGCATCATATTTCTCTTGCTGTGCTGTTTGTACTGATTAGCAAAATCCCCTCCATTTCAGCACAGCTGTATAGACCGAATCTTCATATTTTCCGACTTCAAATAAATGCACTCAGGCAAAACTAAACTCGTAATAACCTTCACCAAGTGTTAGTTCAGGCGTTTTAGAACACCGTTTGGCAATTTATTCCATCAATGAATCGCCGCTTGGTGCTAAGCCTGGCTTTTCAGTGTTTTTACAAGCAGTCTGTGTCGAGTTCTACTTCCCTTATGGGTAACAATATATTATATGTAACACCGTGAAAAAAAACCCCAAAATTGTGTAGTACGGAACCGGCGGCAATTGGGTTTATACAGAGGAGCAGGAGAGAAAATAAAAAATGTAGCAAAAAGCAAAAGCCTTCCCTGCCATGTGGGTTCGACTCCCACCGAGGCCGCGAATTTATCACAATTGGCTCATCTGAATTAAGTAACTATGCCAAACACCCCTAAAAAAAGATACCAAACAAAAAACTGAAAAAATCAGCTAAAATTGCGATAAAAAAGCTAATATAAAGCAACCGAAATACGCGCGATGATTTAAAAATCAACACAGAGCAACTTGCCGCAAATCAGAGGTAACCAAATAAACCGCCTATATTATTAGGAGGTTTTGGCAGATTTGCTTAATTTGAGTTGACCCAATTGTGGAAAAACTCGAGGC